GGGCATCACGTTGTTTACAAGTGTGTTCAGATGCTAAATAAAAGTTTAGCTTGTACTTTTGATACCCCGCCTCTCGGCACCACAACACATCCAGTTTACTGTATTTCACATGAGCGATGTCGAACATTGAAAAGTCCTTATAAAATCTCTGTTATTAGATCAGTACTTTTCTTATATGACTATTATTGACTTGAACACTGAGAATGTATTTATTAACTTCAGACATTTGAAATATTTGAAATCAGATGAAAACAAACTGTAACGGACCCTGCCGTGTTATCTATGATTACTATGCCTTACTGTACATTCATAATTTCAGCCGGAGGTAGGTGGTAGGCGTTGCGGAGGAGCAGATTGCGAGTGAGGTGCCTGTTCTAAACGAACTATTCCAGCTGTTATAAAGCATTAAATAAAAAGTAAGCAAGGAATACAGAATGTTTCGTTACGTAACTTTGTTGAAAATGTGGCCATGTACATGTAATACATGGGATCATTTGCAGCGACTTGGTCATTGTGGGGAAAAATAACACCCATCCTGATCGTTTCAATGAAGTTGAATACAGAATATTCATATTTGTCAGTGATTTCATGTCAATTCGGCGAACATAAACATCAATGATGATGATTAAATTAGGATTAAAAATCGGGAGAGCCGGCTCGTTCGTTTTTTCCGACTAAACAACATCTATTATTTAGAAGTTGATTTCACATGACTCCAGTGTGGAACCCCACTGCACCCCCTGGTGGATCAATGATCCATTGCAGCTGGCTTCACAATAATTAAATGTATTTATCATGGGGGCGGTATCAAGTCTGACTGGGGGCCGGCCGGCCATCACGGAACGTGCATGAACCGATCACGACCCTCGCACTTTAAACTGTCCAAAATAAGACGCTTCATCTGTAAGTCCGGCCGTGCGTCACGACTCTTTGAAACATCTCCGGAAATGCATCCACGAAGGAGCCGTGGAGGACCGTGGAGGACCCATCAGTGTATCCTCGGTTATAGCTCCTCCAAAGAGCCTCCTCGACGCTCGATGCTCGGTCCTCGATGTGCATTTAGAGAAATGAGATGTCCTTCAACATGGCGCGCTAAAATTCATTTCCGGGTCACTACCGGAGGACCGAGGAGTCGAGGAGGGGGATTTGATGAAATGAGAACGACCCATGGTGTGTGTTCAGGGTCAATACTCCAGCTTGGGTCAATGGAACGATACATATTAATAATATTTACTTTTTGAATATAAATAACCTTTAGTTAACCTTTTATTCAGATTGTGGTTTTTAACTCTTCTCACTCCTGATGTCAAAAGAATAACCTATGTAGCTTTTCAATGGGAGTCCTAGGCTCCTTTTGAACCTAGGTGGCGTTGTTCCCTATAAAAACAAAACATATTGTAGTTTTATCTTTATTTTAGTTTGGTTTCCATACAGATTTAGACAGAGCTTCAAGTGGTGTGCAGGCAACCATTTTGAGATGTTAGCCAGACAATCAAAGATTAGTGTAGCAACCTGGGTTTTTAGAGAGACAAAAACACAAAACAGTTGTTATCATTTATTGAATAAGCATTCATTCTGATGGATGAAGGAGTAAAATGTAGCAATGGGCAGAAAGAAAAAGTAAATTTGAGGGATATCAGACCAGTGCCCCTTCCTCTGCCAGTGGCTCTAGGTGTTTGGTGAAGGAGTCGGCTATGAGCAGCAGGAGCAGAAGTATTAGCTGGAGTAATCCAAGTCTCAGAGAGAGCAAGGAAATCAAGGGATTGCTGGGGGGTAAAGCCAGAAATGAACTCAGTCTTGTGAGTAGCTCACTGGCAGTTCCACAGGTCTCCTGTCACAAGGTGTTGGATATGCGTGGATTGGAACCCTGCAGCTCTGCGACGATGGATGCTGTCTGGCCCCGAGATGGCACGTGTGGTTGGAGAGTTTGAGGCCTCCACTGAGAAGAGAAAGAAGACTGACACCCGGCACTATGAGCAGACCAAACATGCACAAATGGCATTTGCACAAGATGTTAAAGCACTAGCTGGTGCTATAGAAGACATGGGCAATCCATGCTGTGAAAAGAGCATTGTAGATCTTCTTGTACTGGATACTAGAGATCTTGCCGATGCAGCAGTCATTGACACTCTGAACCAGATTGAGAAACTTGGACAGGACCGGTATGACACCTACTGTGGAGGAAATAAGTATTTGATCCCTTGCCGATTTTTTTTATTCACCCACTTACAAATAAATGAACAGTCTATAATTGTAATGGTAGGTTTATTTTAACAGTGAGAGTAAGAATATAAAAAAGAAAATCCAGAAAATTACATTACATAAAAGATAAAAATGTATTTGCATTTAACTGTGGGAAATAAGTATTTGATCCCCTTGCAAAAAACAAGAATTCTGGCTCCCACAGACCGGTTAAATAAGTCCTCTTCCTTTAAGAAAGTACTCCTAATATCAATTTATTACCTGTATAAAAGACAGCTGTCCACAGAATCAATAAATCAGATTCCAACCTCTCCCCCATGGGCAAGACAAAAGAGCTGTTAAAGTACCTCAGGGACATGATTGTAGAGATGGGTTCCTTACTCAAAAAAAGTAATATATTACATATTACTTATTACTTTATAAAAAGAGTAATATATTACTTTACTTCGTTACTCTCTACATAAAGTAACTCGTTACTTTACTCGCTCCACTAGCTCCCCCCCCCCCTCGCTCCCCTCAACCTATCCTAAGGGAGTGCTTGTTCTTCCTTCTGTCCGTCTGTGTCTGTGTATTCTCATGTTCGGATTAACCCAGCCTCCCCCACATTTTTCTTGTTTTGTGTCTATCCACGCCGGGATCCGGAGTCGAGGCTGATCCTCTTGCTGTGGTCCTGTGCCCTGGATCCTCTATCCTGAGTTCTGGATTAAGTCGTGGACTTCGGGTCGTGGCTGGGCCTGTCTCTGCGGTCCTGGGTCTCGTCATGCTGCTTCCCTGATGGCTCCCACAGGATTGTTGTTGACATCTTCGTGGATTCATCTTCTTATTATAGACACATGCATTTCCAAACATTTGATCTACCTACGCTGTAAAATGTATTATCTCTTCGATTTACACACGGCATCTATTGCACGTCTGTCCGTCCTGAAAGAGGGATCCCTCCTCTGTTGCTCTCCCTGAGGTTCCTCCCATTTTTCCCTTTAAACTGTGGGTTTTTCTCCGGAAGTTTTTCCTTGTACGATGTGAGGGTCTAAGGACAGAGGGTGTCATTTTCTCATACTGATATTCTGCACAAACTGTGCTGTTGTATTTGCTGTAAAGTGTCTTTACTGTAGTGTCTTTTTATTATATGTACAGCACTTTGGACCAAAAATCGTTTAAAAATGTGCTATATAAATAAACCTTGATTTGATTTGATTTGATTTGAATATCATATCAATACATGTTCCTCTGATCTTAGCTATAGTAAAAAATGATTCAAATCTTTTTTGTTAAATGACTGAAAAATGTAATATAATTTCACAGATATTAGGTCTACACAATAATTAGAATCAGAATCAGAATCAGAATAACTGTATTCGTCCCACAGAGGGGCAATTTACCTTGTTACAGCAAAAAGGCAAAAGTGAAGACAAAACACTATTAGAAAGTACAGGCATATAATATTTAAAATAAAAAAGTTAATTTAATTTACTAGTAACATTCGTAATATAATTCCAATTTGCATATTGCACACAAGTGTTATTGCACAACAGTGGTGTTGTAGTCTGTGTTTGTTTTTACAATATTGCACATTGGTTTAATTTCACAGCAGGGGTCTCTATTGTTATGTGTGTGTGGGGTCTACCAGGGGCCGTGCTGGTTGTAAAGTCTGACCGCTGCAGGAAGGAAGGACCTGCGGTATCTCTTCGTGAGACAGCGGGGGTGAAGCAGCCTGGAGCTGCACAGTGCAGACAGGGTGTCCTGGAGGGGGTGGGGCACATTGTCCAGCAGGGAGGACAGCTTGGCTGCCATTCTCCTGTCTCCCACCACCTCCACAGTGTCCAGAGGACTCCTGTCTCCCACCACCTCCATAGTGTCCAGAGGACTCCTGTCTCCCACCACCTCCACAGTGTCCAGAGGACTCCTGTCTCCCACCACCTCCACAGTGTCCAGAGGACTCCCCAGGACAGAGCTGGCCTTATTTACCAGTCTGTTCAGTCTCTTCCTGTCAGCAGCCGAGATGCTGCTGCCCCAGCAGGCAACACCATAGAAAATGGCTGATGCCACAACAGAGTCAAAAAATGTCTGAAGGAGTGCCCCCTGCACCCCAAAATACATCAGTCTCCTCAGCAGAAACAGCCTGAGATAAGGGTGAAGTACTGATTGAGTTCCCTGTACTCCCTGTCGTCCTCAATAGAGACGAGGCCGACGATGGCAGAGTCGTCAGATAACTTCTGATGGCAAAAAACCAATGTAAAATTTGTATTAATGTTTGAAATCAGGTTTACTATCAAGTTGTAACACAAAATGTGGTGATCATTTATACCGTGTGACTCAAACTGTCAAAGTAGACCAGGTAAGTTTGGACCGAAGGGAGGACAAAGGTTACTTGTAAATGGAAAGACAATGCAAAGGTTAAGAAACGGAGGAGGAAATGACTGATTCATGGGGAATGGCTTGTTGATGGATGACATGGGTGTGAACACAATTTTGCCGGCAGCAAATGCTTTTGGTTTCTCTGGCAGTATAAATATCAGAGCAGACAAAGAGAGCCTCAGTCTCCTGCCACCAGATTTTCGGTAAGTCTCAGTTAACCTTATGCTGGAAAATGTTTACTATTAGTTCTGTTAATATATAGCATTACTTAATATAGTTATAAATTATACTTAATCATGTGTGTGACACTGAAAGTGCATGTGTTTCACTGATCTTATATGCAATCATTAAGAATACAACATTCGGTTTTGTGAAAAGAGGTACTAAATCAATTTTCCTCTAGGTTTATAGAGAAATGTCTACGATGAACAGAGAAGTACCAGAGCTTGCAGGTAGAGTTCATCTATATTTACTTACATTAAAACTAATAAGAAATTATTGAAATTCAAGCCTGTACCATGAAGCATTATTTGGTTTAGTGAGGTAACTTCGGGGTACTGTTTGCATCAGACCCACGAAGGTATTCTGATTCTGTTTCTGAATACTTTATTGGGGTTATAAAAGCGTATATTGTTTTCATCTCAATTCCCAACAATACAGATAAAATATATGATTTATGTCTACAATACTCTCTGCTATTTCACATTTTGCAATTTAAGTTTCATTCTTGTTCTGTGATAAAGTTAAAATTAATGTTAAAAAATAGTACCACTGTTAGTATAACTAAAATAAGATGTTAGTTTGCTTATTCATGCTTGTCTTCCAAAGATTGAAAATAAACATTTTATTCAGTAATAATTATACATTTTGAACAGATTGTAAGAGATTGTCACATTTTTCTAATTACAATGGAAGCCGTAAATAAATTACAGGTGTTGAACAGCTGTGGAAACACAAGAACCACATTCAAATTGTTTTAGATACTGGCTATGAAATACATCCCTCAAAAATAATTTGCACAGGCAGATGATTGATGAAATGTACCCTTTTTTAGTGTCTGCTGATGAAATACACTATATCTGTAAAATACATATGTGTGTATGTGTCGCACAGAACATCAGAGTATGTGTACTTGTTGCAGTAGCTGCATGCGGTCTTTGAATCCTTTCAACGTCCATATTTTAATCAAAGATAATTTCAGTTTTCTTTCAATAGCTTCTATGTCATGTGACCCATTATCTATTAATCATTACCAGTAATTATTATTAAACTGCATAATCTCTAACATAATAACAATAATAAAAATAATAACACTGGTTTTATGTCATTCAAAATATTTATTAATGAAACCCTGTGGTTCAGGGCGGGGCTTGGATGTGATCTAATTGTCCTACGACAGCTGAAAGTCGGTGAAACATATTACTTGTATCACTTGTAATATTTTGCTGCAGATACTTTTAGTTATGCTGTGGGTGAATTATGTTTTCACATTTATTTCATTATTTTACATATTAAAGTGCCTTAGTAGAGTGCTTTTATTCAAGTTACAGTGTTGACAGAGTAGATGGCATTGCTTAATTCTTTCACAGGAGGGTTGCACCTGCGTACTTGGCTGTGAAAGCCCCATGGTCCATAGCTCTAACCACTTTTTTCTTTGCTCCCAAATCATTTTAATAAAACCTGGTTTGTGGGTTAACGAAAACAGCTAAAAAAATCATCATATCATTGATTATTTCCACAAAAGGATGAACTAACTTTATCCTCTACGCCAGGGGTGCCCAACCTTTTTTGAACCGAGAGCTACTTTTAAAGTTGCCAGTCTGCCGAGATCTACCAGTCCAAATAGAGAGGCGTAGCCATTACTGACAGCCTACTACCAGGTAAATACACACTTCTACTTGTATAAAACTGACCTTTGTACAATTAATACTTCATAAAATACTGCAGATCCTTTATCTTACCTCTTTCTAATCCACACACATACAAGTATTTAACTGAAGTAACACAACAGTGTTGTTGATACAGAGTTGGAGTTTATTCACACGTCACATACTACAGTGGGTAATGTTTTCAAGAAACATTGAACAGTGCTGCCACATATGACAAAGGAAAAAAAGAAGATACTCTGAACCCTTTCTTTGCCATTACATGTATATAAAAATAGTGTTGCTACAAAAGTATAAATTAGGCTTACTAATAAGACAACTCAGATCTGAAGCTACACAGGAATCTGCTGCCAAAGTGCAATAAAAAAGACAAAATTAATAGAATCAAACCCTTTTTTTGTTGCAGTTTAGTAGAGTATAAAAACAAATGCCTTTAAAATAGGATGCAAGCAACACTAGTTTCTTAACTAGTAGCGTAGCGGAGCCTGAGGAGGAGCTAGCGATAGCATGCGGCTAAGCTGGACTCTCTCCTCCTCTAGGCGGCTGAAGCGCTGGGTGACCGAGGAGACCGACCCATGATTACTCATCTGACTAACAGCGTGGTCCGAATAATCGCTCTCGTCCTGAGACGGGAGGGCGGGGGCGTCTGCCTGAGGGGTGATCAGGAAGACGCCAACACGCCAAGATTATCGGCTGCAGCCGCCATCTGCGTACCGAGCTTGAACAACTTATCCAGATATTCCAGGTGTCTCGGTCCCGGGGCAGCGGGGGCAGAGGACGTTTACCCTCCGCCCAACCAGCCGCGGAAGCAGATGGGCCGCCAGGCTCTCATCGAGGGTGGGGGGCACACCTGGACATGTCGTGTCCGAGTGATCCACCACCTCAACGATACCCGCCATGGCGGCTATCGGGGCCTTCGTTTTAAATGGCTGCTGCCATGTCGCCTCCACACACCGCCATATCTCTGGCAGCTGGGGCGAAACGAAGGTCGGCTGCGCCGGACGCACCGGGCCGTAAATCTCAGGCGGTTTACAGGCCTCGGTGGCAGCGGTGGGGGGAGCGGTAAGCCTACACGCTCCGCCGCCAGAGTCATCACCGGCGGGAAATCGATCCGCGCAGACCTGAGAGTTGGACCTCCGGTCAGCGAGGCGTCCTCCTCGTCCCCCATCGGAAGAACCGGGACGACGTCACTCAGCTCCCCGAATCGCCTACGTCCACGACGTCGAGCTCCAGATCCACCGACTCCTCCTGCGGGGTAGCCCTCGCCAGGAATTGCTGCCCACGATGCTCTCGTGTGAGCCGCGGGATCATCTGGCAGTCTGGGCATGTCAGCGTCGGGCCCATATTACCCACCGCGTGGTCAGGCCCCAAGGACGTGAAGCAGAAGGGTAATTAGATTCGGGCATTTAGGGCAGGTCCTACACTTTACTCTCTCTTTCTCAATCGTCTCGAAGCTCGTGGAATCACTTCCGCTGCTGAAGAGAAAAAGGATGATAGTCAAGAGGCGAGGCCTCCTTTTATACGGTGTGATGCGCACGCATTCAGGTAGGCCCGCCCATTCCGGCTACGTCTATAGAAGTCTCAGTGGGAGAATGCACGCAGGATAAGGTAGTACCCATAGAGTCCAGTAGAGGGCGGAGCCTGTGAGAGATATAACTTGAGTTTTTATTATATCAAAAACCTGTTGAAATGCTAATGTTATTTTTACTGTCCCCAAAAAGCGCGTCGGCAGCCTGCAGGAATGCTTCTTTCACAACTTCGCCGTCTTTGAAAGACTTCATGTGTTTCGCAAGAACGTGACTGACACGATAAGATGCTATGGTAGCAGCCTTGCTCTTGTTGTTGGGCCTGGTGAAAATGGACTGCTGTGCATTTAGCTGTCCTTTCAGGTCCCTCACCTTTTGGGAGCGTAGTGCAGAATTAGGAGGGAATGCCATCTCGTAGCGTTTGTGCTCTGTTTTGAAATGCCGCTCCTAAATTACCCTTCTTCGATAAAGCCACGCTCGCATTGCAGATGAGACAGATGGACTTTGAATTGGAATAGATACAAAAATAATCATCCTCCCACTCGGAGTGAAAATTATATATTTTGGGCTTTTTTGCTTCTGCCATAATTGCGGTCTTGTGTGTGTGCGGACTGTCACTCCTGTTGACACGGACAACGTCAGCGAACTAGAGAATGCAATTCCTGAAGAAATTGCTAGTGGGAATGCTTTATGCTGAAAAGCTGACGCTAAACTGCTATGCTGAAATGTAATGTGTAAGAAGAAAGTGAAGAATTTAGATTGAAATTATACATGAACACTGGGGCCTTGAATGTGTGATGAGAGAAGAAAAGAAAGTAAAAAGGCTTGGAAAAGCAGCAGAATTATAGCAATATCGTGTTTTATTGCAAGGGATAAAAACACGGCAAAAAACACGGCAAAAGCTGGCATGCCATGGCAACAGCTTTTGAGGAAAACTCACTAATGGTATATAGACATGTTGAGGGCTGGACCATTAACTGTCATCTGAAGTCTGGTGGTGTTTGGACCATTTGCATAGGTATCACGACAACATCGTGTTTTATGGCGATGGATGCGTTTCCATGGAAACAGCCTATGGTGAGATCTCAGATTTGGCGTAGAGCTGTTGAGGCATGGACCGGTGATATACAAGCGAAGTTTGGGGGCGATCGGACCGTGTCCATTGGAGTTACAGCGACATCGTGTTTCATGGCGAGCATTGTGTTGCCATGGCAACGGCATTTGAAGAAATCTCAAAACTGTCTCGTAGATGTCTTCACGGCTGGACTGTTAGCACACATATGAATTTTGAGCACTTTTTGAACATTTTCATAGGAGTTAAAGGGACATCGTGTTTTATGGCGAGGGATGGAAACGGCATATGGTGAGATTTCAGATTTGGCGTAGAGCTGTTGAGGCATGGACCGGTGTGGCAGAGAGAGAGAGAGAGAGAGAGAGAGAGAGAGAGAGAGAGAGAGAGAGAGAGAGAGAGAGAGAGAGAGAGAGAGAGAGAGAGAGAGTTTGTGAGAGAGAGAGAGAGTGTGTGTGTGTGAGTATGAAATGAACAGTTAGAACCAGAGATGGAGTACTCGAGTCCTGGACTCGGACTCGAGTCGGACTCCAGTGTCGATTTTCGGGATTCGTGACTCAACTCGGACTCGCGCACTGATTGACGTGACTCGGACTTGGACTCGTGAATTCTCGCGCACAATGACTTGGACTCGGACTCGGACTCGTGAATTCTGGCGTACACTTGGACTCGGACTCGTGAATTTCCCCCCCACGATGACTCGGACTCGACTTGTACATTGACGCTCCGACTTGGACTCGGACTCGAGCAAGTTTTCTCTGGAGTCTGATGTCCTCTATCCTGGCGTGTGCACCTGCAAGGCGAGTTCACGTACTGGGCCCCGCTATTCCAGTCTAGAGATGTCCAGAGACACACCCCGCATCTTGCTGTATGCTTTCACACATTCTGCTTCCACATTGGAAAAGAGCAGCGCAAAATGCTCGTTATGTGGAAAAAATATTGAAGAGAAGGCTCCGTAACACATTACTCTA